TAGTTGCAGTCTTTACTTAGCAATTTTAGCTCCGTTACAAACTGGTCGAAACTCTCACTGTCTCCTTGGATCTTTTCATGAAATTTATAGCGCGCAAATATGGGATTTGCTTTCGGAGTTACATAAGCTTAAAAACCGTCATAGTACGTTTTTAGTACCTTACTTTGGTCTTCTGTGAGAGTCCATGTGTAAAAGACATCTCTGCCTTTTTCCCCAATCCATAGGAGTAGATAGCTACATTTTTCCTCCTCGTCTTTAGCATGTAGCGGGCCTGAAAACATTAGCTGCACATGCTGTCGAAACTTTCTACGTGCGTCCGGCAGATTAGACGAGTCCCAGTCCATTCGTGGTGTTGGAACACCTGTGTTCTCCATCTTCCGTCGTCAGGTCGATGATAAATGAACTAACTCTGACACCATGTAATATTATGTTCTATGAACATGTAAGTGTTTACATAAACAGATGAAGCGGACCACTTCTTTCAATCCGAGTGTCCATCTTTTATTTCACTGGCGTGTAACATGCACACATACCTTACGTCATCCACGTGATCTCTGTAATCAAAGATCTTGTATTCACCAAGATGTTACAGCGCTGATCTTAGCTATCTCTTAGTGGAGGAAAACAATTGTCACATCACTTACGCGACTGGGATTTGTAGTCTTTCTAGTTGCATATTTTTAATAGTTTTATATTTCAACAGTTTTACGATAAACTGAGTTTTTTTACATGGAAATTATTTTTTAAGATTGACAAACATTATATGTGTAATTCATGGCACAATTCAAACGGGATCGAAAGATACGTTTTCTCTCTCCATTGACTTAAATACATTATTTTTCCGAAATAAGGTCCCATGGACCGGAAGTAGATGGGCGTGACTTCGCCACTCTATTGCCACACACACACAGAGCCGAGCTTGAATGACACAAGCACATGTGTATTTCCATGCAACTCTCTGATTGGTCTGGTGACTTGCCTCTGTTGCATTCACTGAACACGGGAAATTGCACTACTGCTGTCCTCTCGTGTCATGATGAGGTTCACGTAAAGCACGGTTAATGTATTATATTATTGAGGTGTCTCAAATATACGTCAATCAAGTGGCACCTGCTAACGGGGTGGTGGATGATAGGGTTACATCTAAAAACGTATTTTCAAACATTATTATTTTCTTTTTCTTTCTTTTGTTAGTTTTTTTTTAACGGTCCGCGATCTACCCGCACCACACTCGACTGGTTGGCGACCGCTGGTCTAGAGCTTGTACTGGCATATGATTTGATTGACTGTCGCTTCCGTCGAAGCTTCAAAAGTTGAACATTGCTCAACTTTTGAAGCGAGCAACGCGAGCAAAGCGAAGCGACGGAACCAGGGCTCGAGCTTAAGGACGTCCCGTCGTCGAAAAAAATAGTATCGGGGATGATACAAAATAATTTTGGGACGAATTTGGGACGAGAGTTCAAATAAAAATACCCTGCTAACTCTACTACAAAAGGCGATGAAAATGAAACCGACTGCACGTTTTGTGTAGCAAATTAAACCTCCTTGTCAACATAAACACACATGTACATTTAGAAACCCGCAAAATACACACACGTAGCTACAGCTGTGCCGCTGGCTGTCAGCCAGCCGCCCAGCTGGCTGTGCCCGCGAATTCCTGGCCCGCAAATTCGCGGGTCTAGCTATGTACTGAGTGTGTGTATTTCGCGGGTTGAGTGATGTACAATGGCATCCCGTGGAGGAATTCTGAAATGTTTTACCGTTAATCACAAAAACGCACAGCAGAACCAGACCCTGGAGCGCCGGCCTCTTTATTTACTTACTCCTCTTCATCCCCTATGGGTAATAACGGAGCGTCCACACTACAGCTTCAAAAAAAGCTTGGAGCTGGGCGTGTCTGAAGCTTGGGGATTTTATTCGAGCAACGCGACCAACAACCAATCACATGAATCTCCCGCCCCCGACATACAAAGCAAAAAAAACCGGGGATTTTATGCGAGCAATATATATAAACTCCCCAAACAGGCGAAAACCTACCAGTTTCACCCACTGTCTCTGCCACCTCCCTCCATGACTGGTTCTTCCGGTTTGTATCCCGGTAGGTGAAGAGGGTCTGGTCATACAAAACCGGGTGATTTGCTACGGCGATAAATAGTTTCTCCTCCATCTTTTTTTGAAATATAGAAATCAACGGCGGGATATCTCTCCCAGCTTAGACGCGGTTTGATTGGCTAGCGCTTGAGCTGTCAGATTTTCAGAAACGGGATTTGATTGGCTGGCGCTGGCTACTCCGGCGTCTCCGGCGTCAGAAGTTGAACAATGTTCAACTTCTGACGCTTCCGACGCCGGAGACGGCGGAGACGGACCGCTATGCTACCCACAATTCAGTTCGGCGAAAAGCGAGGCAACGTGACGTCACCCCATTCAAAGTGAATGGGCAGACGCGTTGGAAACTGTTTTTGAAGCTGTCGACGCTGTAGTGTGGACGCAGCGTAAGGCTGAGAGGAGAACCCTCCATCGTATTTAGTCCTTAGCAATATGCTGCGCCTCTCCCCATGTAGGGATGGGTACCGAGCCCCGGTATTAAACGGGTCGGAATTATTAAAGACAGTGGTAACGTTAAACTCCGACGTTATCGGACTTTTTATCGGTACTGGAGACATTTAAAATATGTCATATGTATTATTGCTACATACACATTATATCGCAGTTTTAGTTTCACCAACTCCGTTTCTAATATGCAATAAGACTACAACATGCGTCTATGATGTATTTTCTACCTTTCCAATCCAGACGAGATCTCTCTCTCCCGTCTGTGTGCGAGGGGGCGGGGCCGTTTGTAAAGGTCTCCTGACTGTGTTACAGACTGTCATCCTCGTTAGTGGTTACTCTGGGTTCTGTCTTCAGGACAGAGTGTTGGATTTTTTTGTTAATTGGATGGGACTTGATTGGATTCAATATTAGAGTAATTTTCTCGTTTGTGTGTTTGTTTAAATATATTTGGCCTTTGTTTATGTGATTGAATGATTTACTCAAATAAAAAGGTTGATGAATTATCATCTAATGATTTGTATGATGTTTTATTTATGTTAAAGGTCACTTTGAATGATTTCAACTAATGATAATGTAGAAAAACTAACATTTTAAATTCGGGACGGTCCACATTAATTTCGGGACGGCTTAGATTGTATTTCGGGACGGTTCCGGGAGGATGGGGAAAAAAGTTAGTCGAGAGCCCTGGACGGAACCACAATGCAGTTCGGCAAAGCGTGACGTCACCCCATTCAAAGTGAATGTGCAGAAGCGTTAAAGCTTCAACGCACGCCGCTGTGTGGACGGGCCGTAACCCAGACATTAGTTGTCTAACTTGAACCTAGCTAAGACACTTGTAGCCTGTCTCAGCTGACGCACAATAAGGGGAATGTCAACACAGACACCTGTCAACCTGCTGTTCCTCAGCGCCGCTTCCCCTTAAAACACTTTTTTAATTTTTTTTAATTAATTACGTTGTTTATAAATTAATCTGAGGGCCGCAAAAAGAGGAGGTGGGGGCCGCATGCGGCCCCTGGGCCGCCATTTGCCCATCCCTGCTCTAGATGATAGGAAAGGAGGTTTCAAACTTCCTTTATAACCTCCTTTAGCTTAGGAACCACTGGACCTTGAGTCAGAACTGTGCTGTTCACTTTTTATGTTCAGTTTGTAAATGGAATGTGACAATAGAGAAACAGGAACTGTGGTTCATATGAAAACACAAAAAAAGAGAAAACATGATTTGGGATTTAATTGAAAACGATTGTAAGAAAACATTGTAATAAAAAGGCACTATCAGCTCTGCCCCTCCCCTGTAAACCCTGCACTCAAATTATTCTGAAGACCCTCTCCTCATTATTACCGTCTCCTGCTCCTCACAGGCTCCATATCAGAGATGACATCATCTGTGTAATAAAAGACTGGTATGTGTTCAACGTGTCTTCAAATTGAGAACATCTCAGAGGAATAAAGAGAAATACTCGTCACGCACCAAAGGATGCAATGGTCCAGTCTTATTTGTCACCATTTGGTCCAAAAACATGTTTCCTGCATGTTAATACTATATATATATATATATATATATATATATATATATATATATATGTATATACAACCGCAGCTTGGATTATTTATTTTTTACAGTTTTACAATGTGTGCACCGAAAAAGTTTGCAAAAATTAATACAGATCGGTTTCTTTCTCAAAGCAGTCAGAAGTGGTTTTAAACTAGTTGAGGAATGCTGCTTTTATCTTGACGCTCCACTTGTAAAAAGCCAAATGAACTTGATGAGTGTTTGGGTTTGGAGATGATCAGATCCAGTAATAATTTCCCCTGCTCTTGATTTAAACTCTTTCTCACCGTTCACACGCAGTTTGTATCCACGTTCTCTCAAACTGCAGCAATACAAAATAGGATTCCTTATACAAGTCCACTGAATGAGACACATCCACCAGCATCATGTGATAGACCTCCTCCCAGTGTGAAGACTTTGGGGTCAGTGTTTCCGCCAGACCAGGGCTGAGAGGGCGTCCACCACGAGAGTGGGGGGGGATTTTGAATTGAGCCGTCCCTTATAGATACTATCTCTTTACGTTAGTAAGTCGGATCATTTGACTCGGCTCTCTTCATGTTACCACAGTTTACCACGGAGCCTCAGTTTTGGCCGCTGCGAGGCTCCGGCACTCGCAGCTCACGCGCGTGCTCCACTAGCACCCCCCCCCTCATCGCGTCCAAATCGTGCACGTTCCGTGTTGACTCCTTTGCCCCTCCAACAGAGGGATGTCCTTGTCCTTTTTCCTTTTCGTCATTTCAAGCGATAAAAACTCTCGATCTTCTCTCGAATTATAAAATGTTTTGGATGCCCTCGGCTCGAGTTCAGGGCGTTCCGAGCTGAATAATGGCGGAAATGCTGTTTGGGGTAGTGGAAAGCCCCCATGCGGCCCCCCCCCATCCCCCTCTTCCTCCGGCTCTTAGCTGACTTTGGGGTAGATCTTCTCGTAGAAGAAGCTCTGAGCCAGGACGTACAGCTCTCCGTCTTTCTCCCTGACGGCGTGAGCGCGCACAAACTGAAACTGTTCCAGTGCAAACTCGTAAAACTCATTTTCCATTTTCCAGATGTCCGACTGCTGCAGCGTGGCGATCGTCTCTTTGCTGGGGGGCTTCTTTTCAGAGGTCTTTCGCAGATGGGACTTCTTGCCTGGAGGAACAGGAGGAGGTTTGATGTCAGATTAAAAAAAATCAGTAACATCCAAGCAGATATGCTTTTATTCTTACAAAGCCAGAGTAAACTGAAGCACGGCTTCACGGCTTCACTTCAGCAGATGTGCGCCCCCCCCCCCCCGCTGGAGGCTCGTCTACCGTCTTTCACTGTCTGAGTGTCACACAATAAATGCTACGTCCCTGATGCATGGGGTGGGGTGTGGGGGGGTGTGTGTGAGGTGTGTGTGGGGTGTGTGTGAGGTGTGTGTTTGTGAGGTGTGTGTGAAGTGTGTGAGCTACTACCTGTTCTGTAGAGCTCCGTGGCTCCCTTGAAGAAGCGAGGCAGCGCAGCCTCCAGGATCATGATGAAGTCCTCCAGCTCCTCCATGACCCCCACCAGCAGGTACTCGTTCACCAGGTTGTACTTGGCCTGCTCCAGGGCCCATCTACTGCCAGCATCCCTGCAACAACAGCATAAAACATCTCTAACTCTGTAGGGAGAAGTCAATGATTCGCTGCTGAGAAATACTGCAATTTCTGTTTCTATATTTGTGGTCTACATTAAACCAAATTGTAATAAGAGAAATCACAATCTTACGTTGATTATGCATTCACTGAATCAAATATAGTAATGCAGATGCTCAGCGTCTCTTTATTTGCATTCAGTAAAGCAGCTGTACCTTCATTTCATAATGGTGTTTTAAATCACTATGGAAATAATGTGATGGGTGTTGCTCATTTTAAGAACTTTAAAGAGAACTATAAGGGAGCGCAGACTTGTGTAAAGACCATCCACTATCGTAATGCTAGAGGGATCTCTAACTTGGATCTGAAGCTTAACAGAGCTTTATAATAAGTTTCAACTTTCACTTTTTTTTTTGGCCAACAGCTGTTGACCGTTCTAAATGAATGATAATGCTGTACCTGCATCAACTGTGAATGTACAGAGATAGCAGTGGTAATTAACAGCCTCTTACCTAAACACTTACTTGCAGGTTGTTAAAAACACCTTGATTGTTTTATTTTTAAATCTCAGGCTTGCATTTGGAAAATAGCAAACAATAAAGTTGACAATTCTTTTTTCCGCTGTAATGCACAGCATCAAACTAACATTCTGTCACTCACCAGCACTCTGAATGGTGTCCACAGAAGAAGGGGATCTGTAGCCACAGCTTCTCAGGAGCACAGTCCGACCTCCCCGATGACACACACTCATCAAAGGTCTGAGAAACAACACAAACACATTCTATCAATGATTCTGTGCAGTCTAGCAAAGGGTCATGGGAAAAACAAGCTTATTTAAGTGTGTGTGCACACCCAACAAGCACAGTTTTTGTCAGGGTAAAAATGTAAAAACATTCTTCTGATGCTGCATCGTGAAAGCCTTTGACAGCCTAATGTCAATGAATCAGAAACGGAAGAACGTTTGATTTTAGCAGTCCGTGGACACCTGTCATCAATAATAAACATCCTAAATGTAGTTTACATTATTTTAAAGACACACAGTATGTGTAAATGACAGAGACATGACTGAGACAAAGAGACAAGACAAGTGGAATGTATCGTGGCTCGTGTTGTGTGAGAGAGACTGAAAGAGAAGGTAGACTATTGCATTCAATGTTTATGTAAATTATGAATAACTTACTCAGGTTGCTGCTTTGTCACTTTTTGTAAACTGCTGACGCGTGGGTCAAACCGCTAACATTCACAATAATTCCGGCATTTATGCCTAATTTAAGGTGATTCAGTTTGGGTGTTGATTGCACAGCTACAATTTAAGCATAGCCCTAACTGAATTCAGAATACGAGCATTTTAAAATGTTGTCGTCTTGCAGACAGACCTTATGCAGCATGATTCAGGAGTTTTTTACAAACATGCATCATAATAGTAGTTATTTCGGCATCTTTTTCATCAATTTATTGCAAATTCCATTGCACAAAATATATTTATCTTGGATCCAAAGTACTGTATTGAAATATATTCATCCAGCTGCATGAAGAAACGCAAATAATCTGAAATAATCCCATGCCAAACTCTGAAGAGCTCTAAATAAACACCTTTTTGTCTCCTTGTTTCCTTCGTCGGAGCCCGGGTCTGTAGTTGTCTCCAAAGCGCAGAAAGTAGTAATACGACACCAGGCGCTCGATGGGGTCCCGCACCACATTAATATACATTGGCTTACCCTGCACTCCATATCTAAAGAAAAATAAAGGGGTTAACACTTTATTTGTATTGAACAGACACTTCAGGATTTCAAGCCTAAAAGACTGCATCATGAAACTGCCGCCTAATTTATTCTGCTTATTGCACTGAAGAAAGGCTTTTCCATCAGTGGAGCTACCAGACTCTCTCCTGCACCATTAGGATAATTACCTGTGATCACTGCAATGATAGTGTCAGGGAGATAAGGACAACAATGCTATTAATCAACACTAAAGCACACGTTAGCAATCAATACATGACCTCCCTTTTATCTGCTCTGCAAACTGTTGTCACTAATCTGGATATTAATGCTATTACAGGAAATGAAGGGCTTTACTTGGAGAAGTCCAGATAAGCTACATGGCCGTGGTAGAAGCCCGGCTTCATCTCTCTCCAGGAGGTGACGTTCCAGACAAAGCGCACCTGTTCACAAAGATAATGGGAAATAATTACAGAGCATTAGGGAGAAAAGCTAATAAAAACAGCAAGAACAGAGCACAAACACAGGGACAGGAAAAAAGGCTGACTGTTCTGAACCAGGGATGCAAACTCATCAGGTATGAAAAAGGTGACAATGATCCGAGTCCCCCGCCCCCTCGGAATATCGGCTAGGAATAACAGATGATTTTAGCAGTCAACTAAAGCAGCAGTGTTAATAATAACAGAAACGCCAAAGAGTCACATCTAATAGAAATATATAAAAGCATTTATTTTAATTGTGTAGCAGTCAGTTTATAATTTTGGCAGCACTGTTGAGCATTTTGAAAATGTATTTTCATGCAAGGCTTAGTCTTTCTATCTTTATAGCCACAGGTGTAAAGTAACTAAGTTCATAAATTCAAGTACTATACTTGGGTACAATTTTGAGATACTTGAGAGGTAAATGGTGTACTTTTCCTCCACTACATGTATCTAATACCTTTAGTGACTTCACAGATGTGGATGAATAATGTCAAATCTAATCAAGTGTTAAATCAGACTTTAGTTACACCTGGAGTAAATCCACAAGCTACCCTGCAGTCATTCAAACTAGCTGCACCTTTACCAGCTTTGAGAACACTTTCTTGATCAATCATTATAAAACATATCATATATATTATTCTGAAATGGACCAATCTGCACAATGACTACTTTTGCTGTCGCTACTTTCCCTATATTTTGATGATCATACTTGTCACGTTACATGTACGTTTGGTTTTGCTGTTATAGCACCTCCTAGAGGCAATTGGCTTGATTGCAGCATATTCATGCTATTTTTGGCTGTTTGTGTTTTCATTGGCCAGTAGAGGTCACATTACATAGTCACATGACTGAGTTGAAAGGTCAGCGGCCATGTTTTTCTGACAGACAAGCTAGAAGCTTTTGGCTTCCTGTAGCTCTGGAGAGAGCTTTCGCACCTGTGGCCACTAACGGTCATCATTTCTCTGCTTTGTTTCAAGACCCGCATCAGAAAGCTTTTGAATGGTTCGATTCGGTTGTTTTCCAGTTGGTCTACCTGCTCTTCACATAGCTCTGCATGTCATCGTTTAGGTGCTTTTTTTTTCTGGAGATAGGCACTGCTCAATCCACTCCTCCATAGTAAGGCCACCCCTGAGGTCGAAGTTAACCTTAAATGTTTCCATCTTAAGCTTTGTAAGTTAGTTAGTTTCGTAAAGGACGTAATGTAATGTCATTGGAGGCAGTCGCAATTTCTACAGGCTCGCACTTACCTGTTAGCATCTGGCATCTGTTAGCATCTGTTAGCATCTGTTAGCATCTAGCTCTCCTGCTTACAAACTTTTAGCCATCCCTGCTTATACAAGTAGTAGTTTTAGTTGTCTGCGAACTGTGGAGGCCTACTCCCACCTGTCGAGTGCGGCTGTACTGAGGTGTTTTTCCTCCGGAGACGTCGCAAAGAGACGGAGCGGCTCCACCTGTTGCTGCATGCGATCTGCGATTTACGGAGGCCTGCTCGTCGCGAAGAGACGGAGCGGCTCCACCTGTTTGCTGCCTGCGATCTGCGATCTACGGAGGCCTGCTCCCACCTGTAGAATACGGCTGTACTGGAGAGGTTTTTACCCCGGAGTCGTCGCGGAGAGACGGAGTGGATCCACGCTTCGGGCTTGGCCTGCTTCCACCGGGCGTGTGCTGCTGTGCGGAGGAGGATTTTACCACCGCTGGGGCCTGCTTTCCACCTGTCCTGGTTCTGCTGTTGCAGAGGCATGCTTTCACCCCGGGGATACCACGGAGGGACCGGAGCGCTTCCACGCTGCTGCTTTCGCCTGTCCTTTGCTGCTGTGCTGATTTTGCTCCAGGAACATCGCAGATTCTGTGTGCTGGTCTGGGAAAATGGCCCATATTGGGATTCTGCTGTGCCTGTTAACTGTTTTGGACTGTGAGAAGATCTCTAGTCATTCTGAGAAGACTACTGGATTCAGGTCTGTTCTGCCACCCGCAGTGGGCATCCCCTGCAAAGGTTCGGATGTGTTGCTCAAACAATTACCGGTTGCCTTGTCACAGTCAATCTGCTCGACAAAATATGTTTGTCTTTTTTATTTTCCTGCGATGATGGTTCTTCAGGACTGCTTCTTAAGCTCTAATCACACTCTCGCAGACTTTTCCGGTGTTTCTAAATTAGATGACAATGTATTTGTGTCGTTTAAGAGGAAAAGATGCCTGTTTTTGTTGTTGTTATTACTGTCAGGAAATGTACAACCTAACCCTGGTCCGCCCAGTAGTAGTAGTCAGATCGCTACTCCTGCTGATTTTAAAGCTAGGTCTGGGTTGGGTTTCATCCACTTGAATGTGCGCAGTCTGTTAGGTAACTAGATTTTCTCCGTATCTGGGCAAAATCGACTGACGCTGACGTCATTGTTTTATCAGAAACATGGCTAAACAAATCTATTTTGGCCTCTGACATTGCCTTAAATGGTTTTAATGTGTATCGTACCGACCGGCCTAATAAAGGTGGTGGCGTTGCCATTTATGTTAAGAATAAGTTCAGTGTAACCACATTAGTTTCCAAATCGATCAGTAAGCAATTTGAATTTTTAGCCATAAATATAGAAGTGGCAAAGGGTCAACAGGTCATGGTAGTGAGTTGTTACAGACCCCCCTCAGCTGTCAAAGACTCCTTGTCTTCACTAGCAAATCTTTTATCACAACTAGACTACAAGGAATTAGTGCTACTTGGAGATTTTAACTGGGACTGGTTAACTGCAGTGTCAGAGGATTTTAAAAACCTTTGTATCTCTTTGAATGTTACTCAGATTGTTGACAGTCCTTCTCGCCCAAATATTAAGTCCCCTAATAAATCCTCCCTAATTGATCTCATTTTAACTAATGTTCCCCATAAATATTCATCTGTGGGAGTATTTGCAAATGATCTGAGTGATCACTGTGTTGTAGCCACAATTAGGGACACTAAGGTCCAAAAGGTTAAACCTCGCATTATCATTAAGAGACAAAAAACATTTTGTTGAGCAGGGTTTTGTGCATGATCTGTTTGATTTTGATTGGGGTAAAATCGATCTGTGTGCTGATGTGGAAACCGCATGGTCTTATTTTTATCTTGGTTTTATGGAGATCATTGATAGACATGCATCCCTGCGTACATTTAGAGTAAAGGGACGAGACAATCCTTGGTTTTCTGCTGAGCTGTCTAGTCTCCTTCATGAGAGAAACAAGGCCTGGGCAAAGGCTAGGCAATCAGGCTCAGAGGTAGAATGGCTGCGTTTTAGGCAGCTAAGGAATAGCTTCACTTCAAATGTCAAAAGTGCAAAGTCGAAGTACTATTTGTCAGTTACCACAGAAAACCTAAATAATCCTAGGAAATTTTGGAAAGCAATAAAATCGATATCCACCGGTGAGATCCGTAATGAGCTACCTCCGTGCCTTACCACAGCATCTGGCACTATATCGGACAGGGCCACTATGTTAAATTGCTTATAATGAGCATTTTGTGTCCTGCGGTTCTATGTTTGATTCTGTGACTAACTCTGCTTCTGTGAACAACCCCAATCCGTGACTCTGAACAATGTGGTCTGGAAAACCCTTTCAGTTTTACTCCTTTTACTGTCAATGTTGTTCATGAAGCCTTATCTAAGCTAGATCCTAAGAAACCGGCTGACCCGGACAACGTAGAACCTTTCTTTTTAAAGATAGCTGCAGATGTTATTGCTCTTCCTCTTACTACTCTTTTTAACCTCTCCCTCAGCACAAATGCAATTCCAAAAGTATGGAAGTCAGCTTATGTCTTGCCTTTACTAAAAGGAGGGGAGGCAACTATTTTAAATAACTATAGGCCAATCTCTAAATTGTCAGTTCTGGCGAAGGTGCTCGAACGCCTAGTGAGTGAACAGGTAAAGGAGTTTTTATGTAAAAATGTTATCCTGTCTAAACATCAGTCAGGCTTCAGAAAACAACATAGCACCATCACTACCACAATGAAAGTGGTGAATGACATTACGAGTATTTTAGACAATAAACAGAGTTGTGCAGCTCTATTTATTGACCTTTCCAAAGCGTTTGATACCGTCGATCATCGCATCTTAAAGCAGAGGCTACTCAGTATCGGCATATCCAGCCATGCAGTGGGTTGGTTTGTGAACTACCTCTCTGAAAGGTCCCAATGTGTTCACTTTGATGGGCTGTCTTCTGAGTGGTTAAACATTGCTTATGGTGTTCCTCAAGGTTCTGTTTTAGGTCCACTTTTATTCTCCATATATATCAACAGTTTAGGTGAAAATGTGGATGAAGCTACTTTACATTTTTATGCTGATGATACCGTGATGTATTGTGCAGGTCCCTCCATTAAGGAGGCTGGTGTTAAATTACAGACTGTTTTTAACATTATTCAGACTCAGCTTGCTGAACTTAAGCTTATTTTAAATGTTGATAAAACCAAGGTAATGCTATTTTCAAAAGCTAAAAAGACACCAGAGCCTGTTTTGGATATTGTTACTATGCAAGGACAAGTACTTGAAGTGGTTACCTGTTATAAATACCTAGGTATCTGGCTTGATGATTGTCTTACTTTTAAACTTCATGTCAATAACCTGCTTAAAAAGCTGAGGGTTAGACTAGGTTTCTTTTCAGAAACAAGTCCTGTTTCTCTTTTGAAGCCAGGAAAAGGCTAGTCACTGTGACCTTTTTACCTGTGCTGGGACTATGGTGATTTGATCTATATGAATGCACCTGCCCATTGCCTGGAAAAGTTAGATGCCGCCTATCACAGTGCCCTGAGATTTGTTACTAACTGTAAAGCACTTACTCATCACTGTACCCTGTATGCCAAGGCAGGTCTGCCTTCACTAACTGTACGGAGGCTCAGTCATTGGTACATGTTCATCTATAAAGCCATGTTGGGTAAACTACCTTTTTATATCTGCTCTCTGATCTCTCGACAAATTGAAAGTACATATTGCCTGAGATCTCATGATGTT